GTGATCCCCGTTTATGACCCTGGACTCCGTCGAGCAAATTTCGAGCCGGGGATTAATTAAGATAGTTTTATTTAGAAAACGTGGACGTTACATGTTACCAACGAATCAATAAATATCCAAAAAAGATAATCATAGATTTTTGAAGGAAATTTAATGCTCTACAAAAAAGGTCTCTTAATATTTTAGCCTAAATTTACTTCTTCAAAAGTTATTGACGATTAAAATGGAAGAAAAAATTAAAATCTCGAGTTTTTCGTTCTCAACGCAATTTTTTCCACTTAACGGAACAAATTAACTATTTGAATCATCATTAAGCATTATTTATACAACATCTCTCAAAATTTATCATTATTCTAATGATAGTATTACAAAAAAATATAAATTTCACAATAAATAAAACTTTTCATATAACCTGCATTGAAAATGCGAGTTTCAATGTCTGTTGAGCCAACCGAAACTAGACAATTTCAGACCAATGTGACTGTGCCGGGCAGGAATCAATCATTCCTTCCCGGTGGACACAAAATGACGAATTTCTGTCCGCGTGCTGAAGTTGCAGCTTTATTTTCAATTCTATCAATTGTTTGTTTATTTTATACCTTTATAATTGTCATTCTAACCGTTAACTGTACTCTGACATATTATAATTCTGTTATTAAACATAAATACGAATGACAAAAGAAAACTATTCAATTTACGAATAATGTTTAATAAAAAGTAAACTATTACTTTCTATTTTATTATAATTTTTATAATAAAATAGTATTTTCGCTATTCGTCTGAAACTATCTAGTTCTGGTTGGCTCCAGACATTTAAAACTAGCATTTTTAATGCAACTTATATAAAAACTATAATATGTGACGCGGGATGAAACACGATTTCAGACTGAGTGATGCCAGCCCTCGCTTCGCTTGGGCAGGCAACTTTACTCTGGTCTAAAATCGATTTGTTTCATCTCAAAATGAATCGAACAACAATTTAATTTTTTTGTTTTCGCAAATAGTTTTGAAAAAAAAAAACGAAAAAATAATTCAATGCTTCTTTTAATTTTTGATCTAACTTAATTCAAAAATAATTGAATCTTATCGATGATTGTAATTTTTAATTTGTGTTTTTATTTTTTTTCTCGGATTTTAAAGTTTTCTAAATGTGCTGAAAAATTTCAACAGTGGTACAACAAAAAGCAAACATTAAAAATCATCCCGAAATTTTCGTTTTTTTTCTAAAATCAAAAGAAAAACGTTGAATATGAATCCGAATTATAATTCTTATTATTTTTTCTGAAAAGTACATTTAAAAACAAAAATTTCGAAAAAAAAAAAATCCCAATAAATTAATGTTCAAAAGAGTTATGGTTACTTAACAAAAAAATAGCTGTCTTTTTTAAATAACTGTTTAAATAAAAATAAATTCAAACAAATTTTGTTTTAAATTAATTGCCCCAAAATTTTTGAAAGTTCATGCGTTGCTCTAAAATGAATCAAATAAGAATTTCATCGAAATTTCAGAAAAATCGAAAAGGATCGAGGTCATAAGTGGTCGATTTGGCATGGAATGCCCCATAAATTATAATTGCGTTTAAAATGAATTTCACAACATCTATTATTGTTATTATTAATTAAGTAGCCATAATTTAATTTTTCTTTCATATAAATGTAAAAAATATTAAAAATAAATCATTTTTAACAGTAAAACTCAATTTTTGTTTGCTCAAAAATTACTTCGAGACAGTAAAACTATGTTATTGTTTAGAATGTGCCTTTTATGTATGGGTTATTGTGGGTAGAGCTGATAGATGCGTAGATGGGGAAGTGGTCAGAGCAGAACGAGTCGTCTCCCACTTTGAAAGATGAGACAAGTTTGGCGGCTTCGTGATTAGTCCATATCAGGTCTACGACGCTTGTACCACTAGATCCATAGAAGGTTAGTTTGTCCATGTTGTCTTCCTCTGTTCTTCCGTTGAGTAGAATGAGGTCATTATTGGACATGTGACTTAAGATTTGTAGACCTCGGGAAGTAGTTACAGCATCTTGCGAGCTTCTTGAGGGGGATAATATCGTGTCCCTAAGAGCTTCGAGTGGAAAATCACCATCTTGTCCACCAAGTCGAGCGTTAAAGTCCCCAGCTAGTATAATTGGAGTATTTGGAAATGAGCTTTCACATTTGTCTACGACGAGCTGGAGGTCGTCTAGTGAACCCTTAAGTTCAAGGTCTGGTTTGAAGTAGATTAGTCTTAGTATAATTACGTATGGTGGTACTCTAGCTTTGATGAAGATCCAGTGGTGGTTTGACTCTATTATGTTATGATCGATTTCTTCTTTAATTAGTACTAGCAAGCCTCCGCTGCCTCTGCCTTTGTTCGCTGTTTCAGTTGCGTTAGACCAGATACACTTGTAGCTTCTTGTCCAGGATGGTTGCGTGAGAGGGGGTCGAGGTAGCCAGGTTTCAGAAATATCGATGAAAAAAGATTCCTTTGGGATGATTAGGTTTTCGCAGTTGTTAAATCCATGGCAGTTCCAGAATAAAATAATATTGAGCTGATGGCTCTCCTTCCTGTTAATTTTTAGTTTTTTGTATTGGTATTGTGGCCTATAGGTTCATTCGGGTGCGAGGTGATGTGAGTTGTGGTCTTTTCGTTCCATTTTTTGGCGCTTTTATCCCAAGTTAGGATTTTACCGTCCAAGAGTATTTTTTTTTATTTGAGAGTAGGGTTGGTTCCTTTTTCTCTTTCTTCTGATAGTCGTTTCCTTATCTCATATGCTTCTTGCTGTTCCAGAGGTGTTAGATCATTATCTATAAATATGTTGGTGTTATTCAGTCTCGATTTCTTAGTTTTCATGATCTTAGATTTGTGTTCTGGGTTGTCAAAGCATACCACGAAGCGACCTTTCTTTCTTCCTATTTCTTTAATTTTCTTGCATTCTTTTTTTGGGATCTCGAAGGTAAACTCAAGGAATGATGGTATGTCTTCCGTCGGATCGGAAGGCGTTAGTCCTTTAATGACAAGGTTATTTCTTCGTGCTAGGCTTTCTTGTCTTTCTATCATTCCGTTGAGTCTATTTAACTGGGCAAGGACATCAGAGTTTACTTCCTTAGGTATATTGGAGTTCAATGATTTTTCGACGGCCTCGATTCTGGAAATAAATGGTGTTAAAGATTCGTCGAGACAGATTTGGGAGGAACCACATTTACCAGATTCGACCTCAGCAAGTCGTTTTTTAATTTCCTCTTGCTTCGTAAGGTTTTGGAAGAGCTCCGGAAAGATTTCTGGTGGTTCTCTGGGTCTCTTGTGACCAGTTAGCAGTTTGTCAATGTCTCCGAGAGAGTTCGATCTTTCTCGAAGTCTGAGTTCAGCGATGGATGGTCTGCCTTTTTTCTTTTTTGGTTCAGGAGTTGTTAGAGATGACTGTTTGCTGGTAGTAGCCGGCAGAAAAGTCTTCAGAGACGGATCTGTGATGTCAGTTGCAAAAGCTAGCAGTGTTTGTTTTGACATGACAACCTAACCTCTCAGTGAGGCCGCATTATGTTTAAGATCTAGGACGCAATGTTTCGTGATAATACATCAAAATTTATTTTATGTTTCACTACACAACCACTATCAAAATGTTTTAACAGTGCCACACAATTTTATTGTAAGTAATTTGATATAAAAATTTAAATTAGCACGAGTGTAAAATTTCACGTGGTTATCAGTTGGCTTTCGCGCATGCGCTCAAATAATGCTTAATGATGATTCAAATAGTTAATTTGTTCCGTTAAGTGGAAAAAATTGAGTTAAGAACGAAAAACTCGAGATTTTAATTTTTTCTTCCATTTTAATCGTCAATAACTTTTGAAGAAGTAAATTTAGGCTAAAACATTAAGAGACCTTTTTTGTAGATCATTAAATTTCCTTTAAAAATCTTTGATGATCTTTTTTGGATATTTATTGATTCGTTAGTAACAAAATTCCAAAGTAAAAATGTTAAATCGAAAAAATACATCAATTTATTAAGCTTAATTAATCGGAAACGGCTCGTCTGACGAAAATTTTCAATGAGACTTTTTTTGTAGGAAATTTAATTTTACATAATAATAAGTGAGAATAAATTTTTTTGTTCCAATTTTTTCGCAGTTCTGACGTAAACATCAAACTATAAATTAAAATTAAAAATAGCAATGATAGACCTCTTAAAATTAATATTAAGGGCCCAAACTTTCACGAAATTTTTTTTTGTCATTCTGAATAATATTTTCGATATGGGTCATTCTCAGTTAAGACGTAAATTCGACGTCCACGGTGAAAAATCATCTTTTTAAAAAAAATTTATTAAAAAAAATGTAATTATCTCTTAAAACTCGTGCTCATGTAAGTGGTCACTCAAATTCATTTCTTAATTTTATTTAATTTAGTCACAATTTCATCTCAAAGTCAGAAAATGTCTCTCCCCTGGTTTGTCCCCGGGCTGATTCTGTTTATGTATTAGTAATTTAAAGTGCTTAGAAATCAAATAGATTATTTAAATTATATATTTCAACAAAATAAATTAAATAATTTCTCGTAATCAAGCGAGTAAAATTGCATGATATTTTTTTTTTCTTAAAAAAAATTACGTTTAAGTTTGTCCCCCACATTTTGCGTCTCGTCCTCTGGCATGGTTATTTTCATGTAAAATCGGCATTTGTTTACCGATTCGCGGGAATTGAAGACCTTAAACAAACGTCGTTGAGCTTATACTTTGTAGTCCGTGCCAGTCGAACTTTTTACTTCTATTTTTGTTACTAAAATGTATCTCTCCTGTCTGTATCTCCCCTGCCTTCTAAAAGCCAGGGGAAAGACACGACATCCAGGGGAGATATGAAAACTTCAAAATAGAATTTTTTTTACTGTTCTTTTATTGTTTGAAGGTTGCATATTGTTATTTAATTTAACATATAAATATATTCACAGTATAATTCATTGAATAAACTCGATTATAATGTTTTTTTCACATACTGTTTATCAAGTCTTTCCCCTGGATTAAGTATCTCCCCTGGTTTCTTATAAAACAAGATAAAATTAATAAATTGACTGACCGCCTTGCAGACACGTTTAGAATGATTGTTTTGATCGAAACATTATAAAATTTAATTAAATTTTAAAATTATTTGTCGTGCCGCGTTTTATCAATAAGCGATTTACGATCGTATATATATATATACAATAATTAGATTTTTCAAAGATATATTTTTACTGCGAAAATAGGATAAGTAGATCGGCAGCAAATAATTTTTGTAAGTCAGCTTATGATGTAGCACAATTTGAAAAAGAAATTCAGAAGTGAGAGAAAACAATTGTAGCAGTTTATGTCCAATTTAGTTCATAGTATGAATGCCAATTTGAGTTTGAGAGGCCCTGGTGAGCATAAATACTTTGCTTGATGTTCATGATTTACCTTCTCGTTCTTGGTGAGAAAAGAATTCGTATGAGGTGGTTTTGAAAGTATCCAAGCTGAATGAATCAGTTAATTCAATTGGTAATTCCCTCCAAAGTCGAATAGCGGATATTACAAAAGAATGTTCATATACAGTGCTTGAGAAGCTTGGAATTTTGAAGGTGATGTTGTTAGATTTAGCTGCTATTCTATCTGATCGTCTAATGTCTGGATACTCTTCTATAAAGAGATTTTTTAGGAATTTGGGTTCATCCGTTTTGAAGATTTTATAGAGAAAACATGCCAGACAATAGCGTCTTTTAGTTTTAATCGTTAGCCAGTTTAGAGATTCTCGATAGGGAGTAACGTACTCTTCACGTCTTAGATTATAGATGAATCTAATACAATTATTTACAAGACGTTGTAGTTTGTAGTCCAATCTTTTCGAAGAATCAATCAAGACTAATGAACAGTACTCAATGATTGGTACGATGGTCGCCGTAATAAGAAGTTTGCGCGTGGACGTTGAGAGTATATTTTTCCTGTGTTTCAGGCAGTTTAGTGTTCCATAGACCTTTCGAGTTATGTGAGCCACATGAGCGTCCCATGAGAGATTATTTGACAGATGTATTCCAAGATGTTTAGTGTAGGTCACATAAGGAATAGTATTGCCGTCAATTATAATTTGAGGAAGATGACTGTTATTTAGTTGTCTTAGTTTTCTATTACTACCTAGGATTATGATTTTTGTCTTTTGAAAATTGACTTCAAGATCTACTTCCTTTGTCCAGTTTGCTACAGCAGTACCATCGATAGCAAGTTTACTTGCAGCATCATGTAGTTGAGACGATTTAGAATGAAGATAAGCATATTTAACGTCTGCAAAGAGTCCATGCTTAGAGTATTTTAATCTCTTAGATAGTCCGTTTATGATAATTAAGAAAAGGATTGGACCTAGAATGGATCCTTGTGGAACTTCCGATGTGGCACCAATGGCATCAGATGGAGTAGAGTCAACGTCTAGTGTAGATTGTGACCTATTTGTGAGATAAGATTGAAACCAATATATGACCTCAATGGCGAAGCCCATTTCATACATTGCGATGAACAAAATTTCATGATTTACATAGTCGAAAGCTTTTGTGAAGTCGAAGAGTATGAGGTAGGTCAATTCATCACTATCAATTGCTTTACGAATGTCATCAGTTAGCAGTAATAGAGCTGCTTGAGTACTGTGATGTTTCCGGAATCCTGATTGATGCTCATCTAAAATGTTGTTTGTTTCAAGGTCATTTATTATTTGATTAGCCACAATACGCTCAAAGACCTTGGCAAGATGTGATATATTAGTTATGGGTCGGGTGTCAGACATTGATTTTGGTGGATTAATCTTGTTTAGAGGTATAATAAAAACCGATTTCCAAGCATCAGGAAAACCACCTGTTTTTAATGAGTAATTTAAAATGGCCATAACATAAAGTGAGATGCAAGGTATGTGATATCTTAGCCATTTGAGGTCAAGTCCGTCAGGGCTTTTGCCCTTTGATTTTGAGAGTATCATTTGTAAGTTTTTTGTAACATCTACATTGTCAATTTGTGACCATTTGAAAATACTGTCTACTTTTCTAGTAACATGAGATGGAGGGTTTTCAATGAAGTCTCGAGAGCATGATGGATGCTTACTGACAATGTCTGCATAGTATTTATTTAATTCCTCAGCTCCAAAATGATCTAAAGGTGTGAATTTCTTGTTTTTAATTATGTCCATTCTTTTTAGACTAGTCCAGATGTTGCTTTGTGAAGTAGCTTTCTCTAAAATTTGCTTAAAGTATGCATCTCTTGCTGCTTTCAGTTTTATCTTTAGGTCTTTTCTCCTTTTCTTATAGAGTGTAAGCAGATTTGCATTACCAGTGCGGCGATCTCGTTTATATAAGTTGTCACGATGACGAAATTCTTGTTTTAATTCATAGTTCAACTATGGACTACTGGGACGAGTAAGTTTTCGTGTTATAAACGGTGCAAACCTATCAAGCGAAGTGGTGACCGAATTTATGAAATGTGTGACGAGTAAGTTTGGTTCAGTGTCTTCCAGATTTATATTTGCCAAGTTTAGTTTTTGATTTAGGTCTCTCGTTAAGCCCTGATGGTCGCAATTTTTGAAATCCCGAAATTTGACTAGCTTTTCGTAAGCTGTTTTCGATTCAAATTTATAATTGCAAAAAAGGTAATCATGACCTCCAATGAAAGGTGTTACTGTTTTAGTATAATTGTTTAATTTGTCTGCACAGTCAACAATAATCACATCAAGCCAGGAATCAGTTTCTGTGGTATGGAAAGTAGGACCAAAAGGTATGCAATAGAGTTTAGATTCTGTAATAAAAGATTTAAGGTGGTTTGCTGGACGATCAGATTTTAATAGGTTGCAATTTAGGTCGCCCATAATAATAATAATGTTCTTGTAAAGTGGGTAATATTTGCTGAATTGGATAAAGAAGCTATCCAATAGTTGACCTTGTGGCCGTCTATAAATTGAGGACAGAAGGATATGGCAACCAGTAGGTGAAGTAATGTCAATAATCATAAATTCTGGATTGTTTATATCGTGCGATTCTGAGGACAAAAGAAGCTTAGATTTTCGTGAATTATGTACAAAGCAAGCTACCCCTCCACCTCTGATGTATTGGCCATTAGCATTTATTAGACCACGATCACGTCGTAGAATCGTATAATCAGCAAGAGTGATATGATTATCCGGATTTAGCCATGTTTCCACTACTGTTATAATGTGAGGCTTCAATTCGTCTACAAGTATTTGAAATTGAGTTGAATGAGCTAGATAACTGTTTATGTTTAGGTTAAGAATATTTATTGATGAGCTTGTAACAGTAGGCAGATCTGTTGATTGCTACATAAGCTGATTTAAATCATCTACGGAAGTAACAAGAATCTTGTGTGGGTCATCTTCTTTCTTGGCGTAGACATTTCCATGGAAGGTCCATACGTACTTGATATAAACGCGCCGTTCCTTAGACTCGTGTCTCAATTTTTAAGCCCTGGGAATGCCTCACTTCGCACATATGTATCGAAAATATCTATTTTATTTCCGTTTGGATTTTGTCTCTTGTGTGTTCTATTTGATGCTTGATGTTGCTGATTAGCTGTCGGTTACCGGTGTCATTTTTTTGTGTTTTGTGTAATTGTGTTAATAAACGTGATTTTTGTTTGTGTAGCCTTTCAATTTTGTTATTAATGTAGTAAGTGTTGAAGTTATTGTTTCTAGGTTTTCTAGGAACTATTTCTGCTATTGTGTTCGTTATGTGTTTATTCATGGTTTGTATATATGTGTCTATTTCATTAATTGATAGGATTTTGTTTTTTGGAATATTTAGATCATAATTTCATAATTGTCATTGAGATGCTTAGTAAATTTTTTCCAGTTAGTTTTTTTGTATTGTAATATAATTGTGTTGTCTTCTGGTATGTTTTTCAGAGTACTGCCTTGTAGGTCGATTTCCATTATAATTGCTTTATGATCGCTGTCATAGGTGCGTGTGTCAAGTTTATTGTTTTTTAAGTTTGTAAATTTTAGTCTGGCATCAGCGATGCAGATGTCCAGTAGAGAGTTTGTTGGAGTAAAAGTCGGTTCATGCGGTATGTGAATGCTGGTTCTGAAGTTAACAGTATTTTCTTTTTCCCAGTTGACTAACCATCTACCTCTTGTTTCGGTAGTTATGTCTCCTAATTCTTTATGCCTTGCGTTGAAGTCTCCTGCTATGATGTAAAATATATTATTATTGCTCAAATTTAAATTTGTAAATAGTGCGTTTATTTCGTCTAAAAATATTTGCTTTGCTTCTATTTTTGTTGTTGCATATAGACTGCCAACTATTAGTTGTTTTTAATTACTCAGTTTGATTTTAATTAGTGAGAATTCAATCATTTTATTATTATTATTATTTGAGTTAGGATGTGTAATTGTTGTAAATTCTATTATTATTTATTATTTTTTATGACTATTGCTGTTCCTCCTCCTCCTCGATTTGGTCCAGGTCTGTCTGTGCGAATGATTTTGTGTCCATCTATGCTAAGTTTATGTTTCGGATTGAGTTTGGTCTCGGTTACTAGAGTTATATCAAGATTGTTTTCGGTTATTAATTTAGTTAAATCGAATCTTCTTTGATGTTTTACAATTGAATTGACATTTATAGCTGCAATTTTTAATATTTGTCGAGATTCATTATTAGTTGAACTTGTGTCTGGTTGTGTCAGTTGGTTATGAGTCATTTTTCCTGGATGTCGAAGTTATTTATTTCATATAAATAATTAATTCTGTTGCTATTTTGGCTAATTAGGTTTTTTAAAGAAACTAGTCTTTGGGTAAATGTCGTTATTTGTCCCAATAGCTCCCTGGCCCATTGGGGGGCATCAGTTGTTTCATTTTGTCTTGGTGTGTAGTTTACATTCTGAAATGGTTGATTTATTATTGATGGATTTATTTGCTGACCTTGAGTTTGCATTTGGTTTAAGGATACTGTGTAGAGCAAGTTTGGATCAGTACATCTGTCTGTTCTGTTGATTTTGGAGTACTGGTCTTTCCTTTTTTCATTTTTTTGCTCTTTTATAATTTTAAGAGCATTTTTGTAATATTTGCATCCTTTATAGTTAGCCGGATGGCCATTTTCCCCACAGTTTGCGCATTTTAGAGCTGTTTTTTCATCGGCAGCTTTAATTTTGCATTCATCTTTGTCATGTGTCTCGCCACACTTAACGCACTTTGGTGGTAAGTGACAGTTGGCTTTTGAGTGGCCAAGTTTTTGACAGTTCCTACATTGGAGTATTATTTTCTTCCTTAGATTTTCCCATCTGACTTTTTGGAACAGTAGGCTATTTATTTTCATCAGTTCAGTTGTTACACTTGTGTTGGTAACTTGGACTAAGTGGTGTGTGTATTCATGTCCATTTGCATTTTTAAATGTGACTGGTTGTACTTTTAAAATTGAGATATTTGGAATTTTCATCTCCAGTAATTCTGTTTTTATATCTTCGGCAGTGAATCCTCCTTTCACTCCTTTCAGAACAATTGTTTTTGGTTTTTGGCTCTTGGGGGTGTACGTGTAGTACTGCTGTTGTTTATCAAAGAATATTTTGTTTACTTTGACAAATGTGTCTAGGTTATTACATGACACAGTAATATTGTTGTTTGGACTTACTTGTTTCAGTCGGAACTCTGTTTTATTAATATTATTTTCGCATAGCAATTTTATTACATCTTTAATTGTGATTTCACTTATAATTATTGGCGGAGATCTTTGGACTTTTTGTTTTGGAGCTGTCACTGTTATGTTTGTGGTGGCTGCTTCTTGTTCGCCATCTGGTGCGATTTCCATGTCATTATTATCTTCAGTGTTGTCCAGATTGTCAGTAATTTCTACATTACTTGTATTTTTCGCTAGGTGTGAGTATTTGTTTCCAGTAGGTGTCACTTGTGTTTCTGTTTGGATTTGTGGTCTCGCTGGATGTTTAGGCAGTTGCCAGCCATCTGATGTTTTTTGATCTGCATTACTTGCACTTTGAGACGATTGTTGTCTTTTTGCTTTAATGTTTGGCTGGAATTTGTCATTTCGTTTTTCGTTGAGTGCTTTCGCGATCATTTTTTGAAATTCACTGTCGAACATTTCAGTATTAATATTGATGGGGTTTTTCCTTAGAATTTTATTCACAGGGTTGAGGTCACTGGAGTCATTGCCCTTTCTTTTGCTGGATGTTGTAGCGTTACCGTCAACCATCTTGGCTGCGGATTTTTTGTGGTATGAATTATACACTATTTCGTTTGATTTGGTCACTTTTTCACTTATGTCACTATGCAATAGCCGTTTCCAATCCCTTTCGGGATGTTTTTGCAACTTTGTAGTCACTTTAATCTTTATATTTTAATTTATTAAGTCTCAGCGATACGGGATGATGCTTACTCATCGGCGCCCTCTCGCGAGAATGTGGTGTTAAATTCTCTGACATCAAGGATGTCATTTACAAGATTCCCAACATTTAGTTTGTCAAAGATTTGATTTACAGTTTGTACATTAGTGTGTTTGGAGCTTACATCTTTTGGGATACCCGATATCAGTAACTGAGAGGAACAACGCTGTTGAGACAGAAACGGCAGATTTTGAGGGCCAGCAAGAGAATCCAGTGTAGATTTAATAAGAGTAATAGCAGTTGAGTTTTCTTCACATTTGTTATTATTTTCCTCCATATAAGCGCGTAGACTTTTGATAGTATCTTGTGATTCAATTTGACTTTTAGTGACTACAGATAAAGTTTCATTTACACTTTATTTTTGTTGTTTCCCGCCTTTCCCGCTTCACAGCATTATTTATATTTGTTAAAATATATTAGCTTATATTTTAGATTATTAGATAGCTCGGACTGGGATTCGAACCCAGAACCTTCCGAGGACATGTCGGCTACTCTACCATTTGAGTTATCCGGTCTATACTAAATTTCCTTTCATTTATTCTATATACATTAAGCCACACCGTTCATCTTACGGTTAGCATTTTTAACAAATATAAATAATGTTGTGAAGCGGGAAAGAATAGGAGTTACGGATATTTATTACGTGAAGCGTTCCAACATTTACGTAACAGGATATTTTGGTAGGAAAGGATTGTGGAGAGGATCATCTTAATGTGAGTGTATGGAATATGCGAGAAAAAATTATTAGATAGCTTGGACTGGGATTCGAACCCAGAACCTTCCGAGGACATGTCGGCTACTCTACCATTTGAGTTATCCGGTCTATACTAAATTTCCTTTCATTTATTCTATATACATTAAGCCACACCGTTCATCTTACGGTTAGCATTTTTAACAAATATAAATAATGTTGTGAAGCGGGAAAGAATAGGAGTTACGGATATTTATTACGTGAAGCGTTCCAACATTTACGTAACAGGATATTTTGGTAGGAAAGGATTGTGGAGAGGATCATCTTAATGTGAGTGTATGGAATATGCGAGAAAAAATTATTAGATAGCTTGGACTGGGATTCGAGCCCAGAACCTTCCGAAGACATGTCGGCTACTCTACCATTTGAGCTATCCGGTCTATACTAAATTTCCTTTCACTTATTCTATATACATTAAGCCACACCGTCCATCTTACGGTTAGCATTTTTAACAAATATAAATACACAAAGACTATTTTTAAAGGATAACTCAAGAAGCATGTTCATTTTTTCTTCCATGGAGTATTTAGTCCAGTCTGGTTTCTCCATAGTGGGCTGATTTAATGTGAGCAAACCTGTGCTTGATCTATCATTGTTTGTGGACGTACGTGGTCCCGCTAATGCCTGATTATTAGTGTCAGATGAGGACCCTATTTGTATTTGAGAAACATTGGAGGACGTAGTAATTCCTGGAGAAGTTTGAGAATTAGTGACAGAGGGAAAACTGGTTGGTATTTGATCACCTAAATCAGCCATAATTGGAGAAGTGATGGTTATAGGTGATAAAAAAAACAGAGTCGTCTTCGAAATTCAACACAGGTGGAGTTTTAGGTGATGAATTTGTAGATTTGAAGCTGGATCGACAACTTGGATCTCTTTCGTAGTCTGCCTGTGAAGCTGTTTGTTTTTGCTGCTGGATATTGTGCTGACTGTGATGATTTACCTTGAGAAGTAGTTTGTGTTTGATGCGGTGAGTTTGAGAAGATAAACGAACTTACACAGCAAGTTATTACTTTGGACTTAGCAACTTCTTTGGCGCAGCTTGGATGATAAGCAAGTTGGCACGTTTTGCACTTTACAGGTCTAGTTACTGGTTTTTTACATCTAAAACAGTTCATACCCTACACAAAAACATGAAAATTTTGATGTGACAAATTCGACAGCTGTCAGATTGAGAGTGTAAACAATGTAGTAGGTTTACGTGCTAAGTGTCTCCATCTGTTTGTTGATGGTGATAACTGGTAGCAACAGTATAATATTGGTAAAGCACTATAGTGATAAATTTGCAACACTTTAGGTCTCGGATTAGACAACGGCGAGATTCCCTACGCTTCAAAAAATAACCTAGGCAATTTTAAAATAGTGAATGTCATGTTTATCAGAGTTAGCTACTCATGGAGGTTTCTCGTCCTCCAGGAAGTTGCGGATCAGGCAGCGGATAAATTATTTGTACTGCAAAAAATAACCTAAATATTTTTTAATTAAATATAAAAATTTATTTACAGTTTTGAATCTTCAAACACATGTCAATTTTTCAAATGGTTATTTTGTTTTTCTGCTTCTGCTTTATTTTATAAAATTCTCTGTTGACAGTCAAAAACAAGTGTCCACGACGTAAGAAAAAATTGTAATCAAATATTAAAAAAAATAATATTAAAAATAAAATTATAACAGAATGCAAAATTTTAGGGAACATATACAACGACAGTCTGAAGAAATACACACGCTATTTTAAAAATATCTAGGTTATTTTTTGGATAGCGGGGAATTCCGCCGCTGCTTAATCCGCAACCTCCTAGAAAAACCGACTCAAAATACAAATCTGAAACTCGTTTTCAGGAAATACTTTTAACTACGCGCCATTTTTTCAAATATTTTTTTTTTTCATTCTAGTTCCTGCGATAACTATACTTATACTAATTTAAAATCTGTCATTTTTTTTTAATTTCAGATCAGAGGTAAAGATCAATCAACCCCCGCCAGTCAAGTCCATTTTTTTTGGAGAGGCGAACTTCAGCACCATTTTTTTAATTAAAAAAAAAATTTTTTTGTCTTAATTTTCATTTTTGTGTAGTTGATAAGCAATAGAGTAAGTGTAAAAAAATTTGAAAGGATTAATCATTACCTTCATATAGAAATAAAATTTTTAAAATAGTTTAAATTTGAGACCGCTAGACCCGTTCCCCTTAATAGACCAAAATCAACTGGGAAAATTTTTGAATTTATATTTTTGTTTATTGTTATTTTGATCAAATATTGTTATTTTTATTGATTTGAGTTCTGTAATTTTTGTCTATTTTGAATAAAATTGTATTTTTCCTGAAAAATTCCCTAAAAAGATGATTATACCCAAAAATTAACTTAGATCGTGTCGAGGCACGTGTTGTTTTGAATTAAAAAAAAAAAAAATTTCCTAGTGTTTTTTCATCAAAAAGAAGCTTTTTAGGGGGCGCCGCAAAAAATTTAATTTTTAACGACCACCCTAATATATATTAGGCTTCACACTTAAAGCTTTAAATTACTAATACTTAAACAGAATCAGCCCGGAGACAAACCAGGGGAGAGACATTTTCTGACTTTGAGATGAAATTGTGACTAAATTAAATAAAATTAAGAAATGAATTTGAGTGACCACTTACATGAGCACGAGTTTTAAGAGATAATTACATTTTTTTTAATAAATTTTTTTTAAAAAGATGATTTTTCACCGTGGACGTCGAATTTACGTCTTAACTGAGAATGACCCATATAAAATATATAGGTATGTAATATATACAGCCGCGCGCATTAATTCAAATAGGTATTCAAGTTTATAGTTGAATTGAAAATTGTAAATTCGGCCGTTTCTAAAGTCTAATAAATGTTGAAAATCTAAAATTATGCCCTTTGTCAAATTTACTAAACCTAAAAAAAAGACTGCTAATGTGGGCAAAAAGAATATAACGCTAGGTGTAAATTGAGCGTAAAGTAAAAAATGACAAAGAAAAAATCCGCGAATTTTCGAAAAAGAACATCTAAAAAGGCAGTCACTTAAAAATAAACAATTCAAATAAAATGCTGCATTAATGAAATAATGCCAATCTGACATAAGCTAATTTATGAAAATGATTCTAAAGAATAATTCAAAGTAACAAAGATCTAACCAGTTCATATAGTCACGCTTGAGTTTTATATTACTAATGTTTTATTTTTTAATTTTTATCTTGCACAATACCAATTATTAAGTAAAATTTCTATTCAATTTTTTTCCATAAAATTAATTTAATGAATTGGTTCATTATATGAAAAGGTACGGTCTTATGGTATGCATGCATGTACCAATTTTTTGTGGTTCCTGGTTTTGATTTGTGTTATAATTTCACACTTTGTAGGCATAATGAATGATTCTGACGCGTCTTCATCAACTGCAGTATTAAAAGATCAAAGTTTTAATACTAATTTGAATGGTTTAACACAGATTTCCAGTTCACAAGAAAATGTCAATCCCCAACTATCTAACCTTATTTTACCAGTGAAAAACACATTTAAAACTTTATGTACCAAATGTTTCTTGACATTAGATTCTAATTCTATCAATTATGTGCCAGATCGCCAGGATTTGAAGACATTTTTGAATCAAAGCTACAAAGGTCAATTGATTCTTAATTATTATAAGCTTCATAATAATCTCACTGATACTTTGAGCAATTATTTGGCGGAAATCACTTTTGGCCTGGAGATTAATATTATTCTTAAACAAGAAAAAGTCACCTCAGATAATCCTTTGAAAAAATTAGAGTAAGCAAACTTTTTTTAATGTAGAATTATAACATGAACATCATATGATTCAGTTGATTGCTTCGTATGGTTTTGTGTATAATACCAAAAATTTAGCACTGTTAAACTATAATTCTTTCATTTTTCTGTTTGCAGAATTCCACCGGCTATATTTAAAAATCTCGCCACAGAAATAAGTGAATTATTTGATGACAAATCAGGCGTTTACTACAGTCCTGGGTATACAGATGGCAGAAATAGAATTAATCCAACTGGTAAATTACAAAGCCAGTTTAACTATGCTCGAAGACAATTAATGGACTCAGGTTTATTAGTTATCACTAGTCGCCGTAGCTCAGTTGTAGTTGATAGTACTGGTAAGTTTTTGAATTATTAACAATTTTTCCATTTTATGAACAGTATAATGACGTAGTAAAATTATGTAGATTCAACTTCAAGTCAATTAAATTTACTGAAACAAAACTCTGACGATTTGAAAGAAATTGAGAAAGCTTAGATTGACATGTTCTCAGCTCGAAAACAGTTGGTAGCAGACAGTATTGATAAATTAGTTGAATTCAATTTATATCCTTGTTTATCAGGTGAAAAAGGAGCTGATTTTGTAAGTATTAATTTCAATAAACACATTAATATTTTATTTTTAATAAAATTTTCCAAAAATTATTTAATTTTAACTAAAATTTTTTTTTCTTCAGATAACGTCAGATTTTGAGAAAAAATTTGAAAGTGCTCAATCATTCAAGACATCTTGGCCAAATCTTCGAGCAACATTTGAAGATTTCATTTTATCAAAAAGGATAGATGATGTTGATGCTGCAACTCAGGTTATTGAATTAGCCGAGTTAATTGATGGTTCGTAACAATATTATACTTAACATTTTTTTAATCTACGCAATAGCTATATTTTTAATATGTTTTAGATGATAAAGATGCTGTCATTTTTTCATTATTACCTTTGGCCATTAAATCGTTAGTTGCCAGTACTGTTAAACGGAGGTAAGTAGAAAATCATCCAGTAGTTGATGAAAAAGCAACAGAATTAAAAAATTCTTATATTCTCACTGTTGAAGTAGGACTTTATTTGAAAATTACTAATTTAATTTTTAAGATTCATGTGATAATTAATTAACATTTTTATATTTTTACAGAAATCTGATGAGCTGGAAGCTAAGATTACAGCTCGGCGGCAGACATTTATTACTAATAAAGAAGCATTTTACCCATTTATGGTTTTTGTCGGACCTGTCAGCAAACCTGTCGAATTTTATGTCATAATCGATGGTACAAAACTGAAAGAATACCGCACTTGAAGCTTTAGACGTAACTTTTAAAATATTTCTTCTAACATCTTGCCCATTTCCAAAATTTGTGAGTCCGACATACATACTCTTAAAAAAAGTTGTTTATCAAATAACTTCACGATCGAAATCAACAATTCAGTTACAAAAAGCTCTATTATTTTTTGAAAAAAAATTACAAACTAAGTTTGATTAATATATTAAAATAACATATGTAAACAATATTTATTATATGTTAATAAATCTATACGATGGATCCTCAAATATTTGCTCAAAGCTTGAAAAGAGAAGCTGCTTTATATATTGCCAAATTATTTGATTTACCCGATTTACCTCGAAGCAGAGTCCATGACATTACCAATGGTTTCACACAATTTTTAAACAATAGTCCTATCACGATTCTTTTTATGCACTTATTAAACAGCTTAGAATTTTTAAATGAATCACCTAATAATTTATTAGCGATGAAAACAATGCTCGCATTAATTTTAAATCCTTTCGAAGAATTACGTACAGAGCATCAATGCTTACAACATTTTGAAGACACTGATACATATATACCGCCAATTGAAGTTGTTGTTGGAACCAAAAAACGTTACAAAAATATTAAAGATGAAATTATTTCAACAAATGAAAATATCACCGTTCAAGTTATTCCACTACAACAAGTTTTACAAAAATTTTTTGAATTGCCGAATGTTTTTGAACTTACTTTAACATATATTAGTAATCTAGAAAATGAAAAAATTCTTTATAGTAATATAATACAAGGTTTAAAGTGGAGAGAAAAAAAAAATTTCGGTGAAAGAATTGTTTTTCCCATATTATTTTATCAGGATGATTATGAGACTAATAATCCTTTAGGCAGCCGAAAAGGGTTAGGCAAACTTGGTACAGTCTATATCATTATTCCTTGCTTGCCGCCATCTCTACGATCCAAAGTTGAAAATATTTTCTTATTATCATTACATAAATGTGATGATTTACAATATGTTACTTTGAAAACAATGTTATCTAGAGCTATTGTAGAATTGAAAAGCTTGGAATCTACTGGTATAACAATAAGAACATCGTCGGGGCAACATCAAATTTATTTTTCATTGGCTGGAGTGATAGGAGACAATCTTGCTATCCACTCGATGCTAGGATTTGTAGGTAGTTTCTCATCACATTATCCTTGTCGATTTTGTTTGATTAATAGAGCTGATATAAACAGTACATTTGATGAGTCTGATTGTATACTCCGTACAGATGAAAATTACAAAAATGATTGAAAAATCACCCTGCTGAAACTGGCATTACCAGACCGTCAGTCTTGAGCGATATCAAATCGTCTAGTACAATAGACCTTTTAACAGTGGATGTTATGCACGACATCTTGGAAGGGGTTTTAGAGTACGATTTAGGTTTGATTTTAAACTATTTCATAAAAGAAGCAAAATTGTTTTCTTTAGATAATTTCAACGACAGGATAGAAAGTTTATATTATGGACCAGATGAAATAAGAAACAAGCCCCGAGACATAAAAAAAAATCAAATAACTGAAAAATACTTGAAAGTTTCTGCTGCTGAAGCATTATGTGTTATTCGCAATCTTGGTGTTCTGATAGGTCATTTCATTCCGGTTGATGATCTACATTGGAAATTATGTATTTATCTAAAAGTCATAATAGATATTGTCACATCGCCAATAATCCATGATGACTTATGTGATTACTTACAACGACAAATAAGTGAATATTTGAGGCTGTTAACTTCCTTGTTTTCGAATTGCCTGAAGCCCAAGCACCACTTTCTGCTTCATTATTCACGTGTTATGAAACTTATGGGTCCACTTTGGAATTTGAACACCATGAGAGCCGAAAGTAAAAATAAAGAAGCTAAAGTAGATGCACGTACCGCAGTAAGCAGAAGAAATATTTGTAAGACTATAGCGATCAAACAACAACTTCATTTGAGTTACAGATTTACATTAAATCATCAAAATGTATGTAAATATGACTATGAAGTTGATGATGTTACACTGCTTAAAGACTTACCTCAATATTCATCTTACTGTCAGTATTTACCTAAAAGTACTATAGAACATATATATGAAATAAAATTATTAAAATTCAAAGCACGGTCAATTAAAATAGATATAATCTTAATGATTCCAACCAGCTCTGGACCAAATTTCTTTGAAGTTTTTATTATAATTCACGATTTTAACGATCAATTATTCATCATTACTAAAAATTTAACTGACTACTGTTATTACGATGAACATTATCAAGCCTATGAAATTCACCCGTATGCTTTAAATGATACTCCAAATTGGAGAATTATAAGATCAGATGATTTAGAATCATGCTGTATTACACATGTTACTAAAGCCGGAAATGAAAAAAAATATATTGTAAAACGATGGGTATAATAATTTGTTGCTCTGATTTGCAAGCATTATTATTACTATTATTGTTTTTATAATTATTATAATTAAGATTAAAATTAGAATTAAAATTGATGTTATTACACTAATGATTGTTATTTTAATAATTGTTTATATTTTGAAATATAATTAAAAAAAAATATTAATTTGTTTTAAATAATTTATTTTATAAAATTCCTCATACCTAATATTTTTTTTAAGTTGGATAATTAATTGTAGACTACTTTAAGATTAAAATTTTGAAACTTGTTGGTAAAAAAATCGAATTAAAGAAATATTTAAACTATTTCTTCATGTCTTTAATAATGTCATTCACTGCGGTGTTAACTTAGAAATTTAAATTGCAATTTTATTATTGAAATTCTTAGCCTAACATTTTTAACTTCGAAGAGTCTAAGAAAAGAAAAAAAAATTTTTTAACCCCAAATTATCGGAAAAATTGTGCTTTAATGCTCCTTAAATGTTTTTAATGTATGTAATAATTATTTAAAACAATATTTGACCAACCTAATATTTAAAATATATCATAGATATGATAATGTATCATAGATATGATATCATAGAATGCTAAGTGCGCAGGCGCTAGAAAAAAAATTGGCGGAGTCACCGTGGGCATAATTCAAATTTCATTTGAGTATAATTTAATTTACACGAAACTATTTCTCACATTATACCCCGTGAAGTTTTACGCGATATAACCAGAAGACTTAGTCGGTTAAATCGGAAACTTCACGGAGTACGGCTTAAAACTCATTGAGTATACTTTAAAAAATATTGACTATAGTTTGAAATTTTTTTTACTATGAATACCACGGAGTATACTTTGCAAGTATGTACAGTGAGTTTTTGTTCTTTCCGTGAATGTGACAAATTTTGTATTTCAGAATTATTTAAACGTAATTATAACCATTATTTTACACTTTTTGTGATTATCAAAAAAAATTTTTTTTTCAAAGAAAAAATTTTTATGTATGTTAATTATATATAAGCATATATAATTATATATGAGACTATGTACAATCTTGCATAGCTGTATATTGCTCCATATATAGTCATATATAATTATATATGACCTCATATACAATTCCATATATAATAATCATGTATGATTATATATAATCTTGCATGGCTGTGTATAGCTCCATATATAGTTATGTATAATTATATATGATTATATATAACCTAATATACAATTCCATATATAATCATGAATGATTATATATAATTGACTATAGTTTGAAATTTTTTTTACTATGAATACCACGGAGTATACTTTGCAAGTATGTACGGTGAGTTTTTGTTCTTTCCGTGAATGTGACAAATTTTGTATTTCAGAATTATTTAAACGTAATTATAACCATTATTTTACACTTTTGTGATTATCAAAAAAATTTTTTTTCAAAGAAAAAATTTTTATGTATGTTAATTATATATAAGCATATATAATTATATATGAGACTATGTACAATCTTGCATAGCTGTATATTGCTCCATATATAGTCATATATAATTATATATGATTATATATGACCTCATATACAATTCCATATATAATCATGTATGATTATATATAATTTTATATACTTATATATATTTGTATATGGAACTATATATAATCCTGCATGGTTGTATATCGCTCCATATATAGTCATATATAATTATATATGATTATATATAACCTCATACACAATTCCATATATAATCATGTATGATTATATATAATTATATATGATTATATATAACTCTATATAATTATATATGTGATTCCATATATAATCATATATTTTATTTAAAATTTCTTTAGGGATTAAAAATAAATTTTCTTTAGGAATTTATTTAAAATCCCCTCAGAAATTAAAAATAGAATTTTAGAGTTTATTTAAAATCTTGTTAAAAGTTAAAAATAGTATTTATCTTTAAAATATCTTTAGGAGTAAAAAAAAAAAAACTAGAATTTTATTTTAAATGTTAGTTTAAGTAGGTTGAAGCTATAAAATTTTTATGGTAGAGATTTAATTTTAAACACATTTTTAGAAGAAGAAAAAAAAATAATCTTGTATGTTACACAAAAATGGTGTAACTTAACTATTTTTCCTTCTCTAAATTATTTAAAAAAAAAAAGAAGTAATAAAAAAAATTTAGCGAGAGAAAAAAAAATTATAAAAATTATTAGATAGGAATAGTTTTAGTCTTATTGTATTTGTTAATGCTATCTTGAATGCACATCTGGATAAGATATTTTTTTTCAATTTTTATTGCTTCTTAAGATATACCCTGTCCCTATGTTTGAGACTTTTATGACCTCGTATTAGAGAGGTTCTGGATTTCGTCTTTTGGGACCTTTGCTTTAGTTTTATTATACAGGTGCTAATTATACAAAAACCCTCTGCGTTGTTGCGATCTCCGTAGGTGGTCCCGTTGACGTGTTGATCCTTGGTAGCAAGGGGTAAACCTCTTGAGTCTTAGAGTCTGGAGTTTCTCCCTTTTCTGGATCTGTATTTGGTGCTGAAGGAGACGGCCCCTTTTTCGTTTGTTGTCTCCTTCCCAAGTGTAATAATAGATGGGTCATCGAGTCCCAGACGGCCCCAAGTAGGCACAGCGACCATCCGTAGACTGTATGCAAGGCATACCCATGGACTACGGTGTCGGCGACTAGTTTTACTGCCCGGAAACACATTACTATGCCTATGATTCCGGCACAATAGGTGCCAAACCCAGTGAATTTGCCCCAAGTTTTGGACCAGGCACTCTCTGCCAGGTGCTCCAGGACTTCTTCGTTGAGCGCGTTGATCAGCGATGGGTATCCTTTCGAGTGGTTGGTGAACTGCTGCGCCATGGTCTCCATGACCACGGTTTGCTCCATCGTGAACATTATCCTTCCCCTCATGGCGTCGAGGTCCTTCTCGAGATAGATCCCTCCTGTATCCAGGTTTGCCGGGTTCTGGTATTTCCAGGACATCCTTGTGCTTGGCTTCAGTACCTTTGGAGGCAAGGTCTCGATGGGTTTGGGCATAAACTTGTACCAAGTCTGGCCTAGTTTATAATACTGTAACAAAGGAGAATTACACGGCAACTCTGTTGCGTAATTAGTGATCACATGTGTGCGCGGAGTGAGGTACAAGCTCTGGTTTCCCCGCTGGACCGGTATTCGGTTGTAACAGGTCTCCTTGTGCTGAATTTTGACTTCGACCGGTACACATTGAACAATGTGGACCACTTCCCCTGCTACCACAGCCATATATCCAGGTCCTTCCATGTAGCGATAGGCGAACTCGTCCGGTTGTGTAGACGCAATCGAGAGTGTGTTTTTTAGCATCTCCTTTTCTAATTTACATCGTTTTCTAATTACATCTACATATAACGACTGGGTTTGAGACCTGAGGTACCTTTCCACGTAAATGAATTTAGCATTAACGTAAACAAAAATATCTAGATTATCTACATCTGTCTCAACAATATTATTTTTTTCTAAAAGTCCTAAATTTTTACTTTCGACTATATACAATTTCGGATGTTCAGTTCTTATAATCGGTAATCCACAAGAGGTCTCAACCCCCGTCGTGCTTAGTGAAAAACTGGTATCTCTCACACTGAGTGAATACACTGTTTCTTTAGTTGATATTAATTTGGTGGCATAGCCGCGATATAAAATAGAGTAGGTTTCGGGAATACAGTACTTGCGTGGTAATGTATTCCAGAAAGTGTGTCCGTTTTCAGGATCGATACAATGCCCTTTACTGAGTTTACATTTGGTACCTGACGGAAGGTATACTTTATCTTCCGCAACTTTTACACGGGTAGTCCCCGACCTAATTGTGATTTTAACAGTCCCGACTACAAACACGCTATCCCAAGTACCGAAGGGATCACTGTATTGTGCGTTGGTACAATCCCCATTATTGTTAACACTTCCCGCTAATGTTATACTACGAACCGAAGTTACATTTGGCATAAGGCCGTCAAAAACCGTGTTACCAATACGAAACGTACCATGATCGTGCGCGACCTGGCACATCTCGCGAGAAATAGGAAAAATATATTCGTTTATCCCTTGGTTAACAATAGAATTGTAGGATTGCCACCCACAATGCTGAATTACCCGATTGACTTCGACTTTACATTGTATTATTTTCGTATGTTCGTATTCGTTTAACTGTAGAAGTGCAATTTCCGGCAAAAACATCTCAGCCTTCTCCTCTCCGAGCTCACAGTCGTCAATATCGACTAACGATATTGTTGTCATGTTCAGAATTTTGCTCCTGCAATCATACCCTATGATTGCGTAGGCAGACTCCCATTGGGTGATAGCCATGAGCAAAAATATGATTTGTGTGAGCTTCATCTGTAACAGAGAACGATCATTTAGGGTCTAAAGTCCGGATCGGGATCTGCGACTTTAGGTTTGGGTTTATTTGGTTTCTTAACTTCGAGTTGAGTTTTCTTTAATCTATTGGGGTGTACTACTTTATCGTGGTTTCCTATCCTGATACTAACATTACCATTAGGAAAAACCTCCACGATTTCATAAGGACCGTCGTAATGATCCCCAAATTTATGTGGTTTAGGCCCCTTCAAGAGAAAAACCCTATCCCCAGGATTAAATTCAACAATTTTTAACTTTTTGTCGTGTAGCTCTTTCGACTTCCACTTTGCGCCTATTAGATTTTCGCGAGCTAAATTGCGAATTTGTGTTAAACGTTCGACCAATTTAACTATATAATCGTCATAGGTGGGCAATCGATCGAGTTCATGTAGGGGTTCACTGGAGGGAACTCGGGCAACTTTTCCAAATACTAATTCGAAGGGAGTATACCGGGTCCCTTCATGTACACAGGTATTATAAGAGAAAGTGGCTAATTCGAGCCAGTTGTCCCATTCGTTATCCTTGGTAATATACTGTTTAAGATATTCTCCTAAAACGTGATGGCCGGACTCAACTTCAAGCAGCAAGTGGAGCATGTCAGTGCCAAAGCATCAGTAGTGAGGGCTAGTCTAGCACGACTGATGCCGAACGTCGGAGGCCCAAAGCAGAGCAGGAGGCTATTACTGTCATCAGTAGTCACATCGGTGCTCACTTACGGAATATCCATTTGGGCCGACGCACTAAAGACTCAAGAATCATGGAGAAAGGCTGGACCAGTATATCGACTGAGTGCCCTACGAGTAGCTAGCGCCTTTCGCACAATATCAGAGGATGCAGTGTGTGTTATTTCCGGTACTCTGCCTCTCAGAGTCCTAGCTGAGGAAAGACGGAGTCTATATCAGCGAAAAAGGTCAAACACACTGAGCCTTGAAGAACTTTGAAGCGAAGAACGGCAACACAGCATCGCAAGATGGCAACAAGAGTGGAACGCTTCAAATAAGGGTCGGTGGACGTACCGTCTCATACCTCGGATTGATGACTGGTTCAACCGGAGTCACGGTGAGATCAACTATTACTTAACGCAGATGTTATCAGGACACGGATGTTACCGGAAGTATCTCCACCGCTTTAAGCATGACGATACCCCAGAGTGCCCGTCCTGTCCGGGGGTCAATGAAGATGCGGAGCATGTCTTCTTTGTGTGTCCACGTTTCAACCAACATCGCAATGAGTTAGAGAAGATTCTGAAGAAGACAACCCAACCAGAGTCAATAGTAGAGGCAATGTTGTCGTCAGAAGCTGCCTGGAACGCCACAAGCATTTTTGCTACAAAAGTGCTTACTGAGTTGCGATCCATTGAGAGGAAAAGAGCGAAAGACCGAATCTAGAAGGAAGAAATAACATCTTAGCCACCAGAAGGAAGAGCGGCAGCTAATTCCTCCCCTCGCGAATCAGAGGATAGAAGAGAAAGGGGTTTAGGGTTTAGTGGGTAGGGGCGTCAGCGTTGAGTTTTAGTATGACGCTGCGTCGAGTCGCCACATATCCGGGCCAACATCTATGCCTAGAATCCGTAAAAAGGATTCCCCCCCCCCAAAAAAAACACACACATACACACACACACACACATACATATATACATACAGACATAGTGACACCCTCGCGGGAATAGTCAGGGAAGCTTCCTAGGACCTCAAAACGTCGAGATCTGATGAAAACTCGATTTTCGGAAAACGGGGTAAAACCAATAACTTCCCGATTTTTGAAAATTTTCTATTTTCTTAACGGGAAGTTAAAAAAAAAGTTTTTTTTTTTTAAATCCATTTTTCTCCGAATCTACTTAACAATATTAAAAAAAGTGTTTATGGGTTTTAAGATATCACTAATTACTAATTAGTAATTAGTATTTCTAGAAAAATTCGCTCGATAATCGCGTAAGTTGGTCATGGGTAAAAATGCGATTATATTTAAAAAAAATTTTTTTTTTATGCCAAAAACGTATGGTACACCTTAATTTTTTTTGCACGTATTACTCTAACATTGACCTACAATATATATTTTTTTAAGATTTTTCAAAAGATTAGACGCTAGTTAAAAAAAATGAAATATTCTTAAATATTTTTTTTTGCCTCAAATTCCTTAAGTACAGTCATGTAATTTTTTATAGATTATTTAAAGATCACGATTAGATTTTTCATAGATTACGAAGGACCAACTGTGGTTGCACTAGTTGAAAAAACAGTTGACGTAAAAAGTCTCTTCGAACAATTTTCTTCCCCACATTTTCTTCGTAAATAATTTTTGAGTTTATCCCAGCAATATTCAAGACTGCGTAAAATACAACCATTGGCCATCGACGCGTGTGACGAGCAACGTTGTAATCTCCTTGAAGCTGATCAACAACATCCACGCCAGCTTTTGTCTTAATATAAAAGGTGATAATCTCTGGTTATATTTTTTCTCCAGTACTATTGTTAGTGCTCGCAGAATTATGAATAGTGGAATACATCAAAACATTTTTTGGGTATGTACGAAACTAACACGCTATTGTCGGTAAATACAAATTTACTGCTACATACACTCCGATTCTTAATTTCTAACAATTCTCGTGGGAGTTCACGCTTGTTGCGTTGAATCGTTCCAACAATAGTTGTTTTGTTTTTCAACAAATAATTAGTGAGAGGTACGGAGATAAAATAGTTATCACATATGATATTTCATCCTGTATTAAGTATCGGAGCAGTTAGTCTTTTGACAACATCAATCGCTAAGTTAGATTTTACATGTGGACCTGATGGCTGTTTACCACCGTAAATTTCCATGTTGTACGTGTAGAATCGTTTAGATTCAGCCATGGAATAAATTTTTATTCCATATCGTACAGGCTTATTTGCAATATATTGACGAAATTCACATCTACCACGGAAAGCTTGAAGCATCTCATCAATAGTCAAGTATTCACCTGGAGTATAATTCTGCTGGCAACGCTCAATGAAACTATCTAAAAATTCTCGAATTGGTGCTAAATTGTCTACTTTTTTGAGTTCCTCGCGGTCATTGATATTATCAAACTTTAATGCCAATAACAAGGTGCAGAATCGAGACCTAGACATTACAACACGATAACAATCAGGAGCCGTCCCGTCAGTTGCCTAAAGCTCTTTCAAACTAACACGAGAATCTTTCTGAACACCAAGCATGTATAACAATTCAATCATAGCATTAATTTCTACACGAGACGTTGGTTGAATATCAGTTTTCCTTTTCTTCGACGAGCGCAGTTTTTCCAAAAAAATGTTGGTATAAGCAATAATTTGTATAAGCAACAATTTTCACGTAATAATTATCCGTAACTCCTATTCTTTCCCGATTCACAGCATTATTTATATTTGTTAAAAAATGTGGAACGCTTCACGATTTTGCGTGAAGCGCAAATTGGGCTTACCCTGGAAGTCTGTATAGAGAGGCTCAAATTTAATGGGCCCTTTCACCTTCTATGGGTAGTTTTCACTATCGAAATACCGTATCTCGTGTGTCACGGAGAA